ATCCAAGGATTACAGAGGGAATGAGCAGTATTCAACGAAAATCTTAGAGAAGATAAAATATTCAAGAAACAGGTCGACCAAAAGTGAAGATGTTCGTGAATGACGGATAAGAGACAACGAACCGAATGAAATTGCACAATATCTGAGATCGTGTCATCCATGTAAGTAAATAAATAACGGAGTAATTTTTACCCGGTGAGTTTTTATTCACCTAATTGGAAACCACACGTCGTTCCAGAAATTCTCATTCGTTTCGTTGTCTTGCAACGGCAGATTTTGTGAAGAATAGTTGCTTGTTTGTTAGTAACAGTCCATTAAAAGGAACTAGGTAAAGAAAAATGATTGAAAACTTTTGTGAGTCACTTAACCTACCGTATGAATGGTGCAGTCTCCGCCAGGGAAAAGCGCTTAAAATGATTCGGAAATGAAACAACAAAGTGGCCGACGCTGAGTCAGTTCAACAGAACAAAAAGCAGTAGCGTCATTGTTATGAAAATCATCTTCACAAACTTTTAAGGCCTTTACCGGACTCTCTGAGATAGATAGAAAGAAACTTGCGAATAAAAGGTTCAAACAAACTGTTTAACGTGGAGTATTCAACTAAGTAAAACAGCAAACTCTTCCATGGTTGATCATTTTGCAAGAAAATTTTTATTTCGTGGGTCATTTTGTACTGCTATAAAAAACATCCGTCAGAAAAAAGCAACTAACAACTACATTTACATTAAACATATCGCCAGCTTTTCTTTTTAAGAAGTAATTTTTCCAGCCCAAGAATAGAATTGTTATGAAGGAAAAAACGAATTTAACTCTTCGCAATTGTAGGAAATAACCTCCGAAGTTCTCTGGAAAGAATAAGCAGAAAAGACACAGCAAGACAAAATGAAGTCGATATAATTCTATAAACAACAAATAAGCAGATGTTTGACAAATTTAGTACCGTAAAGGTTATAAAAATGATAACGCGTTGAACAGTCCTTTAGGGATGTGCCATGCAATCGCCGTTAATCGTCGCAGATGTGATTGCACGCATATTTACCCCATACAATGACTTTCGGAGGCGTACCGATGTATCAGGTCAGTGTTTTTATTCTCTCAGAAAAGTTTCACATCATTTCGTCGACGCCGATGGAATGGGAGACTTTGTCGGCCCGGTGTGGATTGGACTAGGCCCTTGTGCTTATTGTTGAATAACACTGCTACTGCGCTGCTCGCTTCCTTTTCGCAGCGCAAGGAATTGAAGTGAACTGAAGGAATGATGTTCGGCTGGATACATTGCAGACAACTTGACCTTTCCAGGCTCTGCAGAGGGAGAAATGCGCCGAAACATCCTTTTTCCGGTTATAAAGAATAAAGTAACAACTCGTGTTGGCTCAACAAGAGTATAAGGAATTATTGAATCAATGCCGAGGTCAGTAGAGTGTCGGTCGAGGTAAGGAATTGAGACTTGATGATATAAATCAACGTCGAACTTTCCAGAAAGCAAAGTAGTTCAAGTGAATACGGTAGTTCGGAAATAGAGTTATTTTTGTAATGTTTGGACTCACTTGTGTCAAAAAGCTAATGTTTTCTTTCTTGTGGCTGATAAAGACTACCAATGAGAAAGTGTTGATGAGTCACTCCGCGTTTTTCTCATTAATTTCATCACAGAAACATTTCCGGATTTCGTTACCAATGCACGGCAAGGCTGAATAAGATTGTTCGGATTAGTAGGTACGTAGCTGTTGTCAGTTTTTATGATTCAAATGGAAGAAAAGAACGTAGACAATGTGACCCTAGTCATAGACGTTATCTGGTCTTCATGAAAGAAAGGACGGGGAAAATATCAAGGAGAGATCTTAGTCATACTGTCGATTGCCTCATCATAAAGGAAAGAACGAGTAAAAGATCGAGGAAAGATCTTAGTCATACTATCGACGAACCGCATCATAAAAGAGGACAACTATAAAAAAATGCATAAAGGTCGTATTTGTTACGGTGCTACGCTTCCTCCATTCCACAATAATAAAGAACCGGATCTCGCTTTTCTTATGAGAAAGAGAGCATAGCGAAACTAAATTCCTGCTAATAACCCGACTACATCGATAACAATGGTGGTTCATCACTCACTGAATGGAAGCCAGCAGTAGTGATGGCTGTTGAAGCACTTTTTTTAACCTCTTCCCTTCAAACTCGTGTTTCTTGTGTAGGTCATCTTTTACGCTTAAAAGTAATCCAAAATACAGTTGCAGCAGTTTTAAGCTCACGATTTTGTGGAGCTTAATGTCTTATACGTGTACACGTACTTGACTAAGCATGATGCTAAGAGAATTTCCTTGCATCGACAGAATTACAATAACGCTCTTCTGACTCTTCCAACCAGCTTAACGTTTCAAACAGTTATGCACTAGTGAAGCTGGAAAAGCTTAAAATGTGTGAACCGAATTTCTCTATACATTTGCTTTGTTTATTATACGGCCTGAAATAAAACATGCCACAATGTGCAAATCCAAGCACTTTTTCCATCTGATTCGTTTCCCTACATCCATCATCCACGGAGACGTTCGAAGTTTTCGCGTGTGGGTTCGTCTGCGACTTGAGGATTTCCGTTTCTTCATGGATGTCCTTGAATGCTGATCTATTCAACTCTCACCGCAGTCCTGAGATCCTATCACAGAAGTGTGAGGGCTATGGTTAGCTTAAAGCGGCGTCTAACCAGCCCCTGGATAGGTTGCGCTGTCCACGTAATGGACGAGATCACTAGCGCTGTCCTACTCGTCTATTAAAGTGTTCAAGGGAAAAAGACGATGGGCGCAATTTTGCAAAGTCGACTCAAGGAGCTGATGCCAACGGATGCTTCGAAGGTTCTACAAAAAGCGGCTGTTAACTGCTCGTTCAAATGTATGAGTTGCACTGAACGACATCGTGACGCCTCAATCGACAAGTACAACACCCATGGTTTCACGCATTCACGCGTTTCTGAAGGCGCCAAGAAAAAGATCATCGGCAATCAAATGCAGAATAGAAGTCGTTTATTGATCAAATACGTACGCGAGAGAGTGAGAACCTCTCTATTCCATAGAGTATGTAAGCAAAAGATATGGTTTTTAAACAATAGAAAATAAATGGTAAAGGAAAAAGCGTTCGGCATCGATCAATTTCATGCGGATGCGCCATGCACTCGATATTGTCAAGCAACGCAGAGATGAATGCTTGCATATCTGATCCAAGCAATGAATTTACGGTAGCATACCGATTTATTAAATAGATGTTTTCGTCTTCCTATGCAGGTTTATAGTTGAAGAGATGTGGATGAATACCAGCTTTGAGAATTTTTGTCGTTTAGGCACCGGTATTTAACGCTATGACGAAAACGAAGTCGACGTTCTGTATGGACTTGGGGCAGTTTTACAGAGAAGGCCATACCTTTTTAGACGCCATTATTGGTTATTGCAACACTAAGGCTGGACCTCAAAGAACGTTTAAATAATGCTGCATTAAGATCCACGGATTAAAATGGAACGAGTGAGATGAGCGGCTGCTTGCGTTATTTATAACAACAGAGACTATTAATGGTAAAGCACAATTCTCAACCTTATACAGCATTGACAAAGCAGTGGACGAAGGACAGCCTTGTGAACAAATAGGGTTTCGAAAAGGATTCAGTTCGATAGATCACATCCACAAAATAAAAAGACTTCTTGAACTATCACAAAGACCGTCTCCCTTTCATTGGTTCAAGGAAGGCATTTGACTCAATCGAGATTTGACTCCATGTATCGCCCTTCATTGAGCTATGTGTCAGACTGCTGGTCCCTAAGTAAGAAGAATGAAAGCTCACTCAGCTGTTGTGCAACGTGCAGTCATAAGAACAATCTTAGGATTGTGCCGCACCAGACAAGTAAGAGAGGAGGTCCGAAGTTCCGACCTACGTCAACGGAGGCACCGTTCTATATGCCAAATTATTGAAGATAATATGGGAAGACACGCAGTGGGTTCAACAGATGGACAGCAGCCGTTCGTAACTGGATTCCTCGGGATGTCAACCCACAGCAGGAGCAGCACCGACACGATGATCAGAGTTCTTAATGGAATTTATAAGATATGTTGTCAACAAGTGCCTAAGGCAAACAAAACACTATGGGCTACTCTTGTACGTAGCAGAGAGAAAAGGAAGGCTTACTGACGATCGCTAGAGTTACTTGATGATCATCGGGATGACAGGTTATAGAGGTGAAACATGTGATTCCACTCTGATGAAAATTTGACGACATCGGAGGTATAGAAAGTTTGGTGAACACAGGGAACAGGATCGCAGCATTTTAAGAGATTCTGTGCGCATTGCAGAACATCGCCTCTAAGCACTGCCCTACACACATTCTCTTTGGAGTAGTATAGAAAATTTCATAGATATTGAAGAAACTAGTGAATGACAAGCACTTTTATTCTACCAGTGTTTGCGAATCTCAGTACTTCTTTACTTTTTTTCTCGTTACTAGTACTAGTGCAACCACCGAATAGTTGATGAACTCTTCCGTTTAGGGAGGAACGAGATCAAGCCGTCTCGTTCTGACGCTTCAGGTTTAATGCATAATTTTATATATGCATATAATGGTTCTTAGTTAAGAATGGATCTAGTGTCTAAAAGAAACTGTCTGTATTGTTTGAATTCCAGAAGGTGAAACACTTAGTTGTCTCAAGGTGGGGTAGAACCACTACGTATAGCGCGTGTATTGCACGACATCTCTAACCGTTGCTCCTTCCATGACCCTTGGCTTCATTACAAATAGAGACTATTTAAAAAGATTTACTTAAAGAAAATTCGATCCAACATTGCTGCAGCAACAGTAGTCACATCAAACAATTTTAAAAACCTTGATTATTTTGAACCAAGGCGAGAAATTCAAGTTTCTCATCTGGAAGACGAGGAATAAAACCGAATAGGAATGTGTACAATTAATGCCCAAAACTAACAGCAAAGCACTAGAGAGGACTTTGAATAGGAAATAAAACGGCTCGCTTTAAACAATGAATTCTCCTGTCAAAAGTGATTTGGACTCCTCAGCAGAAGCCGTTACAAACGACGCTCGTGATACCTTCAACCTTTCAGCTTTCTCAGCGGGCTTGTCATCATTTTCCGGCTCTACTACCTACAATTGGAAGTGATAAAGATTTCTAAAAAGGGCCTACAAAAGACACACTTGGTACCTGCAATGGTATCACCGCATGACTGTGTGGAGTAGTCAGTACGCCGATATGATTGTTACTGATTTGTGGTTGTGTCATTTCTGGATTATTTAGATGATCTGAACTTCATTTATTATTTAAGTGCTAAAACTCAATTGATCGGAAAAAGGCTTGGTTCCTTGCGATTATTTGTCTTCAACAAAGCAGAGAAACCTAGGAACGGCTGTGGTAAACTGTGATCATTCGATCCACATAAGTCGACGACGATCCAGAACGTCGAACTCCGATAAGAATTCAGACAAAGACTCCAATTGGTCACGACAAATACAATAAAATATTGCGGCTTCAAATTTAGTTCCAAAATATTTGCGAAAAAATTACGATCACGAATAAAAAGGAAATAACACGTTGGGGAAAATCTTTCTATTTTCATGAATTCCTAATAGGCTATAGTCCCCAGTTACTTGTTTCATTTCGATAATTAGTAAACGTGCAGAGAGAAGGAACAGGAAAAGTCGCAACCGCCGCTCTCACGGCCGGTGGTTCAATACTCCTCCATTCATTTCAGTTAAAGCTCTCTCTAAGTGATTACTGAATTGCAAAAGCTATCAGGCCTATGATAGTACTATTTTTCTAAGAGATTATTGATTGCCATTTTTATCAGATACTCTTTGCTACGTATGCGAGATCACATGAATCGTTTACGATTCATGAGCTATGCAGGCACATCAGCTTTTCAAATTTAAACTAGTATAATTCAATGTTTTTCATCAATAAGCAGACACGAGGTTGTTAATATAGAATTTATTAGAACACAATTGCTGACGTTTC